GGTCTACGTTTTAAGAGCAACTTGTTATGTTTTTGCGAAGGCCTTACGGTCGGTCCCGCCGACGACGACGACGACACCGACGACGACGACGACGACGACGACGACGACGACGACCACGGCGGCGGTGGCGGCGGCAACGACGACGACGCGGACGTGGGCCAGAGTCCTCAGGGATGGTTCTTGGGGTCTGTTCGGAAGTCTTGGGACCTCTTCGGGCTTCCTGGGGACCTCGTGTGGGCCCTTTGGGTCCTGGGCAACCTCTAGGGGCCTTCTGGGAGACTCGTGGGGCCGAGGGCTCGAAATGTCCGTTCGGGTCCCCCTTCTGGGCACGCTCTTGGAGCCGTCTTGGAGGCATTTGGGGCCGTCTTGGAGGCGTTTTGGGCTGTCTTGGGGTCCTCTTGGGCTGTTTGGGGGCCTTCTTGGAGGCCTCTTGGGCCGTCGGGGGCCTTGGGCGCCGTTTTGGAGCGGCGGGAAGTGGAAAAGGGGAGAACGTCCAAGTCTTTAAAGAACAACCAGCGAAAAATCAATTAATTTGGCCTCTTGGGGCCCCTTTCAGGAGTGCTCTTGGAGGCGTCTTCGGCCTTTCGTTATGAGAACCATTTGTTTTGTCCTTCAAGCCTTCTGTCGTTCTGAGAACATGTCGTGGCAGGCCTCAGGAAGGCCGGGACGGTCGGCTCCTGCTCACGCAACGCGATGGCGCCTGGGCCTTGGTCGCTGTCGGCGTCTGCGTCGGCTCCTGCGCCGGCCAGCCCACCTCCAAGGAGCCGCCGGCTGGCGCCGCCGCCGCCAGCGAGGCGCTGCGCGCGCTGTCGGCGCTGGCGGTCCACTGCCTGCTGCCCTCGGCGGCCTCGCTCCGGGCGGCTGCTGGCGGGGTGGGGAAGTGTTGGAGATGGGTCGGAGATGGGGCGGAGACTGGGGGCGGAGATCGGGAGGAGATCGGAGGAGGAAAAGGGACGCATTCGAGCAATGGCGAAGCGTCCTGGCTCGCCTATTGTCCAAAACCGGTTTAAAGAATTATGACCCCCCCCCCGGATCCCGACTGCCATTAATTCGCATCCGAATAACTATTTTTTGACTTGTCCCCTTGGAAAAAATCCATGGATGCCGATCGATGCCACTTGTATATACCTTGGTACCAGGGATAATGCCGATGGGGATGTTCCTGTCTTCCGATCAGAGAATGATTTTTTTACATTTGGGTTTAGGAATTCAACATCGCTCCCGTGGTATAAAATCTATAAGCTGTATGCCGCCGCCGCGCGCGCGCGCGAGCGCGCTGGCGATTGGCATTTGTGTATTCAGTGTCGTATATTTACATGGAGATGTTCCCGTCTTCCGATCAGAGAATGAATTTTACATTGGGTGTTCGCCATTTGATTTTGGAGTTCAACCTCGCTCCCGTTGTATAAGACCTATCAGCGGCACGCCGCCGCCGCGCGCGCGTTGGCGATTGGCATTTGCGCATTCAGTTTCGCATGTCCACACGAAGATGTTCCCATCTTCCGATCAGAGAATGGATTTTTACATTGGGTTTTCGCCATTGAGTTTTGGAGTTCAACATGGCCCCCATTATTTAAAACATCTATCAGCGGCATGCCGCCGCCGCGCGCGCGCTGGCGATTGGCATTTGTGCATTCTGTGTCGTATATCCACATGGGGATGTTCTGGGTTTTCGCCATCGGGTTTTGGAGTGCAACATCGTTCCCTTTGTACCAAATCTATCAGCGGCATGCCGCCGCCGCGCGCGCGCTCGTCGGCGATTGGCAGTTTTGAAGTCAGCGTCTCATATCCACAGGGGTTGTCCCCGTCTTCCGATCAGAGGAATGATGTTTTACATTGGGTGTTCGCCTTTTGGGCTTTGGAGATCAGCTCCCGCCCCGTTGTATAACATGTATCAGCCGCATGCCGCCGCCGCGCACGCGACATTTCGTTTCGTTGTGCCAAGATCTATCAGCGGCATGCCGCCGCCGCGCGCGCGTCGGCGCTTGGCATGTTTGCATTTCGTGTCGTATATCCACATTGGGATGTTCCCGTCTTCCGATCAGGAAATCATTTTTTACAGTAGGTTTGTGCCATTGGATTTTGGAGTTCAACCTTGTTCCCGTTGTATAAAATCCTATCAGCGGCATGCCGCCGCCGCGCGCGTTGGCGATTGGCATTTGTGCATTCAGTGTCGCCTGTCCACATGAGGAGGTCCCCATCCTCCGATCAGAGAATGAATTTTTACATTGGGTTTCCGCCATTGGGTTTGGGAGTTCAACATGGCTCCCGTTATATAGAAATCTATCACCGGCATGCCGCCGCCGCGCGCGCGCGCGCGCGCGCGCGCGCGCGTTGGCGATTGGCATGTGTGCATTCAGTGTCGTATATCCACATGGGGGTGTTCCCGTCTTCCGATCAGAGAATGAATTTTACAGTGGGTTTTCGCCACTGAGTTCTGGAGTTCTACATGGCTCCCGTTGTTTAAAATCAACGAGCGGCATGCCGCCGCCGCGCGCGCGTTGGCGATTGGCATTTGTGCATTCAGTGTCGTATGTCCACATCGGGATGTTCCCGTTTTCCGATCAGGGAATGAGTTTTTGCACTGGGTTTTCGCCATTGGGTTTTGGAGTGCAACATTGCTCCCGTTGCACCGGATCTATCAGCGGCATGCCGCCGCCGCGCGCGCTCGTCGGCGATTGACAGTTTCACATTCAGTGTCGTATATCCACATGGGGATGTCCCCGTCTTCCGATCAGAGAAAATTGTTTTACATTGGGTTTTCGCCATTGGGTTTTGGGTATCTAATTTCGTCCCGTTGTATAAAACCTATCAGCGGCATCCCGCCGCCGCGCGCGCGAATTTTCGTCCCGCTGTGCAAAATCTATTGCGCGCGCGCTGGCGTGTGGCATGTTTGCATTCAGTGTCGTATATCCACATTGGGATGATCCCGTCTTCCGATGACAGAATTAAATGTTTACGTTGGGTTTTCGCCATTGGGTTTTGGAGTTCAACAGCGCCCCCGTTGTATAAAATCTATCGGCGGCGTGCCGCATTTGCGTGTTCAGTGCCGCTTCGCAACCCAGACGGGGCGCGCGGTGCGCGGGGTGTGGTCCCTGAGCACAGTCTTTATCCACGTTGGGGTCGCAGGGCGTGGCAGGCGTGGCCTGACGCCAAGAAGGGGTGCGCAGGAATCAGCCCCTGCACGCAGGGCGCCAGGGCGGTCGCGGGGACGTTTCCAGCGATCCAGTTTGCCCCGCCTCCCTTTTTTTTATCAGCGCACTGCACCGCTGGGAAAAACCATGTTTCAACTGTTTCCCCACAGTTGTCCAAACCGTTTTTAGACATTACAGGGCGACCACAAAATATTCTGAGAGCCTCTTGTGAGATGCATGGGTTGTCCTTAGAGCACGTATGGCTGAGATTGTCTTATTTTGACGCATTGTGCTTACGTTCTAGATACACTCTTTCTTCGCCCTTAGAACATTTATGGGTTCTTGAAACATATCGTGTCAGGCCTGTAGGAATGCCTGGCCGGTCGGTCCTGCTCAATATATACCGGTAACCTTCGCCCGGTTTCCACGTTTTGGGCCTTTTGGGAGGCCCTCGTCGCCACCGTTGGATTCGCTTCGGAATGTTGTAACGCCCCCCGACAGAGGTATTGGCGTGGTGACAATTCGCGACGGTTGTTTTTGTTCGCTATGTTCTGCCTCTGGGGGCCCTTACCGAACCCCGGGGTCGTCAAAAAACAATTCGGGATGGGAAGCTGGTCCTGTGGAAGGGTCCAGACTTTTGGGGGTCGACGTTACGAAAAAGTCACGACGTCGGGGGCCTTAGAACCGACAGCCCGTTCCGTTTATTTTGAACGGGGTTCGCTGCCGACGTTGCCGCGGACGTTGCCCATTTCAGACAGGAGGCCGTTGTCGGATTGGGACAACATTTGATGTTTGGCGTCGTACCCCGTTTTCCGTACCCTTTTTGGACCTGCGTCGTATTTCGCCACCGTTCGAGGCTTCCCAAATTAGGATATCGGGCATTCCGTACATTCCAGAGTCGTCTTGTGTTTCTTGTTTGTTGAAAGTGCCGCAGCAAACATTGTTTCTTCACTTGAGCTGGATTCGCGTCGGACGCGGTTGCCCCGCAAAACGCTGGAATAAGGACCGCTTTGGGTTTAGGAGGGGCTTTGGTTTTCGCGCCATCCCGTAGATCTGGGTCGAGGAACTTATTCGTGGCCGAGGGTCGCCAAGGCCAGAAATCCGTTTGTATCATTATTCGATATTCCTAAGGCCAGCACGACAGCTGTACTTGGGGGGCGATCAGGGGGAGGGGGGATTCAGGGCTGCCAGAAAGGAGCGGTAAAGGGCCCCTCTGGGGCCCGAAGGTGCTCCAAAGGCTCACCACGCACGATGATCGCGCCGCTTCGCCGGTGCATCGGCGATGAGGCACGATCTGGAGCAGTCTCTTCTCCATCCCGCCATCGCCGATGTCTCGGCAATGCGTCGGCGATGCGGTGCGACCCTCCGACCTCAACTTGTTGTTTTTTTGTTGTTGCAATCCTTCGGGTTTTTTGTAATCCTTCGGTTTTGTTTGCAATCCTTCGTTTTTTTTTGTTTTTTTGTTTTGCAATCCTTTTTTTTTGTTTTGCAATCCTGGGTTTTTTTGGAAGCCTCCAAGGAAGGAGAGGCGTCCCAGATGAAATGGGTCCTGGTTCCTGCGGCTGGTCGCTGTGATCGGGCTCTCCGGGCCCCCCCAGGACTTGTTCGGGGGTCCGCGCGGATGTCGTGGGCTGGCGCTGGAGCCTCGAGGATCCAAGGCGGGGTTTTCGCGTTTGCCGATGCGACCGCGAGATCCCTCGTCGCCACGGCTGCGTTCCCGTCGGAATGCTGGCCAGAACGCACCCGGGTCGGAGGACGACCGAGGGTCGAGGTGTTCGAACGCCAGACCTCCGACGTCGTGTTTTCTGCTGTTTTCGCAGATGTGGACCCCCGGAAGGCTCGAGGTTGGCTTTTCATTCAGAGTAGTTATGTTGATGGTCTGCAAGCAGTCGGATCGAGCTTGCAGCGGTATTGGAAGCTGGAGCCGAAGCCCTCCTCCCGCGAGATTTTAGTCCATTCGTCCTTGCTGAGCTCACCGAGCGCGAAGCAGCTCGGCGAGTGGGAGGTGAGGGCAGACTGCCTGGATGCTCTTGGCTTCACGATCCACGTCGACGGGTCACACCACGCCATGATCGTCGCTGCCGTGGCGAAGGCGTGGAAGAGTTTCTGGAGGCAGAGGATGCGCAGTTCCGGCCGGCTCCCCGTGCGGCTGGTTATGCGGAACATGACCCGGGCAGTGTGGGCGGGCCTCCGGTACCGCCTCTCACCGATAGCGCCCGCGCCGATTTTGCGGAAACGCTTGGCGGAAGATGGTCGGCATGCTGCACGGGCCTATTCGCGCGCCCCCGGGAAAGCAGCCGACCCCCGCGGAGGCAGCGGCGGCGTACCACAAGGGCATAAGCAAGCTGATCTCCGAGCGCGGTGGCCCGTGGGGCGAGCGGTGGCAGGCCTTGGCCAGGACGTGGCGCGCCCATCTCCAGAGACACTGGCGCACGCCTGCCGCCAAGGCGCTCGCAGCAGCGGACGGGCTGGCTACTGCTCGCGTCATCACCCGGACAGAGATTTTCATCCGCGGCAGGGGGACAGGGCGCCTCGGCACAAGGCGGGTGAGACTGAGGCCGATCCGTTGGGTAGAGCATGCGTGATGCTGTGTGCGCGTGCGCATTGTATGCCAGTGTGTTTGTGTGTTGCCAGCTTCCTGTCCCTCGTCGGCGCCTAATAATAATCATATGTTGATGGTCTTGAACCCGAAGGTCGCCCCATAATGCTGGAAACGAGATGCATTCTTCCAAAGTGATTTGATCGCGACGAGAGAGTGTATGGGGATGCCCGCGGGCCATAGCTTGGGTCTCCAGTAGCCTTCCGGGAGGATCCTGGCACCAGGAGAACGTTCTCAGAGAGGCGCGACGTTGGAAAGCATCTCGATGTTGGAAGGCCTTCTGGAACGGAGGCGTATGTAATCAAACATTGAGCCTCCGCGCCGGGTTCTTCAAACAACGGCGCAGGAGGGTAAAGGCTCGGTCTTCTGGAAAGCCTCGGGATGCTTCCCTCACGACCAGTACCTTCGTGGCGATGTCCGGGCCTCTAGCATCGTTCATTTCCCCCGGACCCCTTGCGAGGCCGTGTGCTACGCGCGTGACGCCGCCCTGGAATATGGGGCCCAAACATATGCACCACCACCACCTCCCCAACCCTTCCCTCGCCCAGAGAAACAAGAGGGAAGAAGGAAAGTACACCGTAGGCGATGCTTAAGAAAACTTAAGTTTTCGACCAGAGTCTCGATTATTCTTAATGCTTCAATGTAAATCCTACGAGTTCAATAGAAATTCTGTCTTTTTTATCCAAATCTGAGGCCATGAATTTCTTAACCCATGATTTCTTGAGCATTTCGCCGGGTGTAGAGGAGGGAGGGGGACTGGAGGTGGCGGTGGTGTATTCTTGGGGCCCGCGTGGTGAATCCCACCTGGTGTTGAATCGGCCCCCCGGATCGCCACCAGCCCGCCTCCTGGCGCAGCCCTCCTCCAGAGCGCACCTGGCTGTTCACCGTCGTGTTGCACCGCGTCGCGGCGCCCCGCGCCGCAACACGCCGCTACAAAATCTACGGTAGGTTCGTGTCGCGTCGGCCAGCGGCGACCCCGCCGCTGGCGTACAACGTTGACTGCCGCTGGCGAGCCAGACTCGATCGATGCTGACCGATCGGCACGACACGAACCTGCCGTGCATCATGTGAGGGACTGCGTTGTTCCACCCTCTCCTCCCACGGCCGCCGCCTCCACCCTCCCGTGTCTCTGGGTACCAGTTTGGAATTCGCAGCCGCCTTGTTTCTTCGTCCGATTGACGCGATCACCGTGTCTACGGCAAGCAGGTTTTTTTTCGACGTGGTCCCCCGGAGGTTTAGACCCTTCATGTGCTGGCTGGTTATCCCTTGTCCACGGGGGAGGCCCCTTGTCGCCGCGATCGGGATCCCCTCTCTGGCGAAGACGCTGCCCCGTATGGGTCTGATGACTTACAGTGAAGACCCATGCCAAGAAACACCCTTCTTGCCTCCAGGGTGCCCTGGGTTTCTTGGGTTTCGATTGTTCTGCCATGGAAAGTGTGACGTTCCAACATCAAAAATGGACCGAATTCCTGGGGTCTCAGGGTAGGGGTTCTTGTGGAAGGTTTCTTGAGGTCGAGCTTCTACTGTACTTGGGCGTGTTCGTGGGGTCGGCGCAGGGGGAGGGGCGGTGCTCGCTGTCTGCCCGGGGGATGCTGGTATGTAGGGGGGGTGTTGGGATTACGTCGGGCATGTCCTCCTACAGGCGGATTTCGGAAAAGTAATAAAGCAAAGCCAAAACATCTTCAAACATGATCACATATAGGTGAACAGGTGTCCTCATTCTAATTTGCGGCTACTCTTGAATATCCCTCCTGTAGACGGACATGCCCGACTTAATGTTCGGATCAAGTGCCTTCGGGGTTGGCATGGGGGTGGGCGGCCTGAGAGCGTCCGCGCCGGTGCACGGGGGGGGGGGGCATATGGGCGGAGTTGGGGGCCGGTGCTGGGGGGCCTGGCCGTGACGTGCTCTCGCGCGTGTCAACGAAAGGGGCATTCGGGGTGTACCTATAGGCCCGGCCACTGGCCACTGGGACGAAGTCTCCGCTCTGGCCACTGGCCACGACGAGCCTCTGCCGCGAATCAGTTCCCGGACCTGGCTCCGAGGAGCGGCCCAGCTTGATTTCCTCCTCGCCCCCCTCTCTCCCCCGACGACGGCCACCGCGGTTGTCCCCGGCAGGGGCTGGGCGGGGGGCGGGGCCCGGGGGGGGGGACCGAGAGTTCGGCGGCCCTTCGGGCTGCTCCCCCGCGCCCCGCCCCCAGTCGCAGCGCCGACTCGCTGCACTCCTCCGTCGAGGCTGTGTACTTGCGTCCGTGCCCGCCTGTGTGCCTGCGTCCCTGCCCTCCTGCCTCCCCTCCTCTTCCCTCCCCTCCTCCTCCCTAAACTCTCCCCCCCCTCCCCCGCCCCTCCTCTTCCCTCTTCTCCGCCCCTTTTCCTCCCTCCTCCTCCTTCTTCTCCTCCTCCTCCTCCTCCTCCTCCCTCCTCCTCCTCCTCCTCCTCCTCCTCCTCCTCCTCCTCCTCCTCCTCCTCCTCCTCCTTCTCCTTCTCAGCCGCTTTGGCCCAAGTGATTCTTGGGCTTGCAGCTGCCGTCTTCAGAGCGGTAATCGCAGTTGCGAGCCAACGGCTCGGTTTCAGGCCGAGGGACCTCATCCCTCCAGTTTCCACGTGCCCCTGTGCAGCCGCATGGGGCAAGACCCTGATGTCCTACCAGGCCCGAAGGCGCTTATGTGGGGCTGTCCCTCCTGCGGGCGCAGCAGCAACTTCGCGTCCCGCATCAAGTGCTTGTGCGGAAAGAAGGCTCCGCAGGCAATCATCGACAAGGCTAAGAAAGCAGCAGCGGGGCTCCAGTCGGGCCCCCATGGCAAGCCACCTCGTGCTCCTGGTGGCGTTTGGGCTCGTGGCCCTCCGCATGATGCTCCCAACTCTGTGGTGCGCTCCATCAGTGCCCTGCAGAAGCAGATGGAATCCCTCGTCAAGCAGTTCGGCCAGCAGGCGGGCAGCCGCCCACAGGCCGCAGGCGCACCACCAGATGCAGCAGACGGAGGAGGCGCTGACACGGCCAGTGACGAGGCCACCAAAGGTCTGTCGGCCAAGATCAAGTCCTTGGAGAGCACCCTCCAAGGGATTCGAAGTGATGAGCAGTTCCCTGCCGCCATCAAGCAAGCCATGGAGAAGGAGTTGGCTGATGCGCGCAAGGAGCTCAATTCTACCAAGCCTTCATTGTCGCTTCACACGGCGCTGGGCCATAAGTTGCAGAGGTCCAGCGCCAAGCTGGAGCGCCTCGACGAGGACATCAAGACCCAGCAGGCCCTCATCCAGGCGGCTCAGGCTGAGCTGCAGAGAATGGAGGAGAAAGCCAAGCCGGTCAGAGTGGAGATTGAAGCCACCAAGTTGGAGCTCCAGTCTACCATGGCGCAGGTGGCCCCGCCCAGTGCGATGCCAACATGTGTCTTGGACGCGGACGCGGTCAAGGATAAGCCTGAGGTGCAGCAGCTCATGGCCTCCCCGCAGTTCGCCGAATACCAAAAGTTGTTCGAGCAGCAGTGCCAGGCTCGGGCAGCCCAAGTTCCTCCTCCCCCTTCGGCCCCCGAGGGCTCGGGAGGGGTTCCTGGCGGCCCTGGTGCTCAAGGGGCCCGTGGAAATGCTTGGGGTGAGAATATCCGCACTCCCATGGACACGGATTTGGAAGATATTTCGGATGAAGGCATTGACAAACTTATCGAAGCTGCCAGGTCAGAGGACGAGAATAAGCGTGCCTTTGGGGATCTTCTCAAGCAGCTGGGTGTTCAGGCTAAGAAACAAAAGTGTGGGTGGCACTATGTTCGACGGCCCAGCTCCCAAGTGTTGCGGCGTTCCTCTCTCCTGCACAGGTGCTCCCGTCCCAGCTCTGAAGGGGGCCCCGCCCAGGTCCAATACTGAGATTGGGCAGTATTCGGTTGAGAGTTTCAACGGTTCCTGCTGGGCCACGCTCAAGCGGCGCTTGCGCGAGAGCTCGGCGATTCTTCTTTGCGCGCAGGAGGTCGGCACCAGTGTGGACTTCATCGGCAGGGCCAGCGACAAGGCACGACGTCTTGGCTGGCATGCGCTTTTTGCCCCAAGCTACCTCAACCCAGAGACAGGTAAGGTTTCTGCAGGTGTTGCTATTTTTGGAAGATTGAGTATTGGTATCAGATGGCCTCCTGAAGGTGAGACTCCAGTGGCGCCCCATCGTATACTCAAAGTTTTGGTTGATTTCCCTGGATGGCCGGCGTTATCGCTTTTCTCGGTTTACCTTAAGTCGGCGGAAGGCCTAGGGCCCATCAACACGGCTCTGCTGGCCCAGTTGGGCCCGGCTATCTCGGACCCGACCCGCTCGATCGTGGCCGGCGATCTCAACATGTCTCCAGAGGTTCTGGAAGGATCTGGGTTCGTTCAGAAGTTAGGTATGCTCACGATGGCCCCGACGATGCCCACATTCAGGTCCCCGACTGCCAGTTCGATGTTTGATTTCTTCTTGGTAGGTCCTGGAGTGGCTCGGCTGGTCCAAGGGGTTGCTGCTGACGCATCTTGGGGGATCAAGCCTCATCGCCCCGTGTCTCTAGCTATGCGTCCAGATGCGTTGACGGTCAAGCAGCTGGTCTACCGCAGCTT